ATCTCTTGACAAAGAGAGCCATCTTCTCATCATCATCATCATCATCCCATGAGCCATCATCTTCACTTGATGTATCTTGCTTTGCCTTGCCCTTGGATGATGTGGCCTTGAATGCCACGCTCTTCTTCTTCTTCTCATCCTTCTTCTCATCTTTCTTCTCCTTCTTTTCTTCCTTCTCATCTTCATATCTATATGTATCATCGATCATTATATCTCCCAACACTTGGTTTGGTGTCATGGTGTCCAAACCACTCCTCACTAGAATAGTGACCAATGTGCCAAATCTTGAAGGCAAACATCTCAAGAACTTGTGGGAGAAGTCCTTGTCCTTCACCTCTTCTCCAAGTACTTTGAGATCATTGACAAGCACTTGAAGCCTATGGAACATCTCCGGCACACTCTCATCCTCCTTCATCTTGAAGCTTGCAAACTTCTCTTTGATAATGTATGCCTTTGCACCCTTCACGGCTTGAGTGCCCTCAAATGATTCCTTCAATTTCTTCCATGTCTCATGAGCTCTCTCAATATTCTTGATTTGGTCAAAAGTTCTCTCATCCAAAGCATCATAGATGGCACTAAGAGTAATGTCATTATTTTGGAGTAGCATTTCTTCGGCGGTGGTGGGAGCCTCTTCATCTTCAATCTCAATCTTTGTCTCTACCATCTTCCAAACCTTTCTATTGATTGACTTGATATAAGTTGTCATCTTAGCCCTCCAATAGGGATAGTTGGGGCCATCAAATTGGGGTGTCTTCTTGGTGTTGTTGATTTGAGTCATTTTTACACCGAAGGTTGTTAAGCCTCAAATCATGGTGACCTCGGCTCTGATACCACTTGAAAGGTCCTAATGGCTAGAGGGGGGGTGAATAGTCTATTAAAAATTTCTACAACAACACTTACCAAATCAGTTAGATAATTATGAGGCGAAGCAAGTGTTGCCCTAGCCTACTAAAAATGCAAGCCACCTACCACAATTTTAGTTTCTATTGTTTCTAACCCCACAATGACTATGGCACTACACTAAGTTAGTGTGCTCTCAAAGGTTAACTAAAGAGCCACACTAACCAAACTAACAAGCTCTTACAACTAGCTACACTAAAGAGCTTGATAACTAGTTTGTGGTAATGTAAAGAGAGAGAGCAAGATAGTTATACCGCCATGTCGAGGAATGAACCGATCAATCACAAGAAAGAAAATCAATGAAGACCAATCACCTCGGAATCAAATGATGACACAATGATTTTTACCGAGGTTCACTTGCTTGCCGGCAAGCTAGTCCTCGTTGTGGTGATTCACTCACTTGGAGGTTCACGCGCTAATTGACATCACACGCTAAACCCTCAATAGGGTGGTGCACAACCAACACAAGATGAGGATCACACAAGCCACGAGCAATCCACTAGAGTACCTTTTGGCTCTCCGCTGGGGAAAGGTCAAGAACCCCTCACAATCACCACGATCGGAGCCGAAGACAATCATCAACCTCCGCTTGACGATCCTCGCTGCTCCAAGCCGTCTGGGTGGCGACAACCACTAAGAGTAACAAGCGAATCCTACAGCGAAACACGAACACCAAGTGCCTCTAGATGCAAACACTCAAGCAAGGCACTTAGATTCACTCCCAATCTCACAAAGATATTGAATCTATGATGGAGATGAGTGGGAGAGCTTTGACTAACCTCACAAGGTTGCTATGTCAATGCAAATGGCCAAGCGAGTGAGCTTGAGCCAGCCATGGGGCTTAAATAGAAGCCCCCACGAAATAGAGCCGTTGGCTCAATTATTGGGCTGACTGCGCATCGACCGGACGCGCTGCTCGAGTGCACCGGACGCACCGTTCGTGAATACCGGACACATCTGGTAGGTCGACCGGACGCGTTCGATCGCTCCCAGACTGCCACGTGTCCAGCTCAAACCAAAGTAGTCGTTGCTGTCCACACTTGCTGTCGATAGGACGCTCAGACCGGACGCTAAAATAGAAATGACCGGATGCAAAGCAGCAGTGTTCGGCCAAGTCCAGAGAGTACCCGAGGCTGATTGGACGCGTCTATTAGAAACTGACCGGACGCTGAGCCTCAGCGTCCGGTCGAGTCTAGTAAGCACCCACGGTTGACCGAACGCGTCCGATCAACTGTTTCACCGAACAACGACTTTTGCCACACCGGATCGATCCGTGTGGCTTTCGGGCGAACAACGATTTTTGTTGATTCATTCACCGGACATGTCCGGTCACTATACCGGACGCGTCCGGTCACTCTGTGACCAGCGCGACTAACTCCTTTTCACCTCTATCTTCTTCACCCTTCCTCAAATGTGCCCACCACCAAGTGTATCACCTTGTGCACATGTGTTAGCATATTTTCACAGACATTTTTAAGGGTGTTAGCACTCCACTAGATCCTAAATGCACATGCAATGAGTTAGAGCATCTAGTGGCACTTTGATAACCGCATTTTGATACGAGTTTCACCCCTCTTAATAGTACGACTATCGATTCTAAATGTGATCACACCTACTAAGTGTCTCGATCACCAAAACAAAATGTCTTCTACCATTTATACCTTTGTCTTGAGCCTTTTGTTTTTCTCTTTCTTCTTTTCAAGTCCAAGTACTTGATTATCACCATGGTAACACCATCATCATGTCATGATCTTTATTTGCTTCACCACTTGGAATGTGCTACCTATCTCATGATCACTCGATAAACTAGGTTAACACTTAGGGTTTTATCAATTCACCAAAATCAAACTAGAGCTTTCACCCCCTCCCACTCGTTTTCAGCTAGCCATTTCCTTCCCCCTTTTTGTTTGGCTTTCTGGAGCTGGCTTAGCACTTAGGTAGGTGTCTAAACACGAAGAGGCTGAATTGTGGTAGCGTGGCTTGCCCCTGATAAGCCACTTATCCAAACAACCCCTACATCTCTTTGTTTTGCACACGGTCCGTTTTTATACAATAATTTTCTTTTGCTTGTTGATACACCGTTCTTCTCGAACTTTGGTAACTTCTGCCGCTAGATCCACATTGGTCAAGACACCATTCCCAATAATTGGTCAGGACACGCCTCTATGTCAAGAAGTTACAAAATCCTCTGAAAATCCCAATCCATTTCCGGTCCTGTAACACTAACTATAAACCTCGATGGAGTCCACGAAGTTTTTGTTGCTGGTTGGCTAAGATTGACCTGAAGGAGTTTGCCCCAATCTCGGTTGCTTTGTGGGGGTGAGTAATTCGAATTATGTCCTCCCACCACAAAAAATTCTACCAACGTATATCTAGCAAAATTCATAAAAAAATTCTTAAGCATATATAAAATTGCTTCTTTGTGTTTGCAAGCTAAAATATCTTGAAACCTACTAATAATAAAAGTATTGAAAGCTCAATTGATTCCTTCTTTAAATGTTTGCTACCAAATGTATTCCGTGATGGTTCTATGCTTGTGTCATCAGATGGATTTCTTTAGCTGAATTGTGTCTTTAATGTGTACTAGCAAATGTACCCACAGGTTGCAACAGAGTGTATATCTTATTGCATAGCCACCTCAATGACTAACAACTCGGAGATTTATGTAATGGTCTCATTATCTATTCTAATATGTATTATTCTTCTTACTGTCACTAGATGCAAAACCACACGTGATTTTGACTTGTGTGAGCATTGATCATGAGCCGGATCTCAGACAAGATAAGGAGAGGCGCAATAACATTACTGGAAGCAAAAAAAAAAGACAAATGTGGTTGTGCACTGCAACGAAACCTAAATACATATTGGAATCGAACTCTGTATCACTTGCACAAACTGTGAGCTCGGGTCACATACGATGCACGGAAGGGGTGAGGATACACGTTAGGAAGTAAGAAAGAGGGTTGGGAGAATCCCTTTCGCTCTTTAATATTACAATACAGAGATATAGATATAGATATAATATACATATAAGAATATACTTCCTTCGTTCTAAAAAAGATAGAAGTCTCATTTCTCACGGAGTCAACAATTCCACTCAACTAAATAAATATATAAGAAACTATTAATACTTATGATGCACTAAATTAGTTATAAAATATATTTCTAATAAATTTATGTATTGGAATCAAACTTCTTACTGTCACTAGATGCAAAACCACACGTGATTTTGACTTGTGTGAGCATTGATCATGAGCCGGATCTCAGACAAGAAAAGGAGAGGCGCAAGAACATTACTGGAAGCAAAAAAAAAAAAGAAGACAAATGTGGTTGTGCACTGCAACGAAACCAAATACATATTGGAATCGAACTCTGTATCACTTGCACAAACCGTGAGCTCGGGTCACATACGACACAAGGGGCGAGGATACACTTTAGGAAGTAAGAAAGAGGGTTGGGAGAATCCCTTTCGCTCTTTAATATTACAATATAGATATAAATATAGTATACATATAAGAATATACTTCCTTCGTTCTAAAAAAGATAGAAGTCTCATTTCTCACGGAGTCAACAATTCCACTCAACTAAATAAATATATAAGAAACTATTAATACTTATGATGCACTAAATTAGTTATAAAATATATTTCTAATAAATTTATGTAAAATGTAAATAGTGATAATATTTTCTATAAAATTAGTTAAATTTAAGATTTTTGAACTCATCGAGATTCGAGAGTGGTATTCTATTTTTTTGAATGGATGAAAATTTAATCCATATATCCATCATATTTTGTGTTATTACCATTTAAATTTTGTATTTTTAGGAAAGAAAATAAAAGTCAGGGCACGCAATGGATCGCGTTCTGACCTCCGACAAAGCTCGCCGGAATTCGTGAAAAGATTTGCCGGTTTTCGTGACCCTCTATGCGACCCAAAACAACACGGAGAAAAAAAACCCGAGAGAGAGGGCATCCGGGCATGAGCCTGACTCGTCATCCTTCCCAACTCTCTTTCTTCCCCACCCCTTGCTCTGCTGACGCGCCGGTCCGTCGGTCGCCGCCTATCTGCTCGCTCCCCCGGCGGCCGCCGTCCATGGCGATGGCGGATGAAGGCGACAAAGGAGAGGTGCGGATCCATTAATCTCTCGCTTTACTTTGGGTGGTTGGGAAGATAAGTTCGCATCCTGTGCAATACGGCTCGGGAGCTGCTAAAGATAGCATTTTTGTCAAGCTGCGCAGCCGCCTGGATTAGACCCAAGAACCCGGCGATCTGCGGCGACCAGGGCGACCGGCGACATGGCCGGCGGTGACGGGGAGGAGGAGTCGGAGGGGGGCCCGGCTACGTGCTCTCGCTCCCGGCGGCGTGGCTCCCCCTGCCCGTCTCCGTCTCGTGCCTGGACGCCACCGTCCGGCGCAAGGGGCGCAGCCGTCTCCGCCTCCGTGCCCAGCCGTCGGGCTGGTGGGCCTTCAAGCTCCCTGTCGTCCCCGCGCCGGAGGAGGCAAAGAGGCCGGTTCCCCCAGCGGCGGCGGTTAATAATCCGTCCGAGGAGGCCCGTCCCCTTCCCCGTTCCCAGCGCCTGCGCGTGCGCCAGGCCCCTCTCCCCGACCCACACTACACCCCCGTGGCGGCGGAGGAGAGGCCGCCGAAGAGGGCTAGGATGTGCCTGCAGTGCGGCGCGGCGGTGACGCCGCAGTGGAGGTCGGGGCCGATGGGGCAGGGCACGCTCTGCAACGCCTGCGGGGTCCGGCTCAAGGCGGCCGGGGCTCTGCGGGGGCAGGTGCAGCGCCGCCCCGCGCCGCCGACCTCGAGGACGCCCGCTCGTCCGCCACCGCCGGACAGCCCGGTCTCGGAGTCGTCGCCCGACAGCCCGATCTGGGAGCCCGGGTCAGTTCCCGATGTTTACCTGGTGAGGAAGAAGCCTCTGAAGCGGGGGAGACCTCCGCCGCGTCCGAGGACGCAACCAGCGCCCGCGCCGGTGCCGGCGCCAGCGCCAGCGCCAGCGGTGTACCTCGTCAAGAAGAAGAAGAAGAAAAAGGCGGCGGCTTCGGCGAGGAAGCCGTGGCGGCCCTCGAAGTCGGCGAAGCAGTGCCTGCACTGCGGGTCGTCGTCGACGCCGCAGTGGCGCGAAGGGCCGCTGGGCCGCAGCACGCTGTGCAACGCGTGCGGCGTGCGGTACAGGCAGGGGCGGCTGCTGCCGGAGTACCGGCCGATAGCGAGCCCCACCTTCGAGCCGTCGGAGCACGCCAACAGGCACAGCCAGGTGCTGCAGCTCCACCGGGAGCGGAAGAGGCAGAGCCAGAGCCACCACCGGCAGCAGCATCCTCTGCCCGTGGAGAAGCACCCTCCGCGAGCCATGGACGTGCTTCAGTTTTCCCCCCAGCGGTGGCACGTGAAGGAGGAGTACCCGCCGACGCCGCTCCTCCAGCCTCTGCCGCATCCGGTGGTGGACGGCAGCCTTGCCGGCGGCATTGGGGGCATGATGGTCGACGCGGCGGCAGATGCAGATGCAGGACACGGCGGCGGCGGCAAGGGAAGTGATGTGAACAACGCGCCGAGCTCGCTGGACTCACTGCTGCTGGAGGGCCCGTCGGCTCCGCTGCTTGTCGACGGCGACGAGCCCTTGATCGACTAGCTAGCCAGAGCCTACTAGGGGCAAATCCAGCTGATTTGAGAGAATAGTAATCTTCTTGGACTTTCTCCTTTTCTGAGATCTCTCGGTAACTTTATCGACTTTGGTTGTGTGTATTTGTTCGTCTTTCGGCACAAATTTTTCGTGTAACTTTATCGGCACAATGGCAGGATTTGTAGCAATGCTCCGGCCAAATCTAGGTGTTGTTGCAACAGAGATGATAATGGCTAATGGCAGTGGCATGATCAACCTGCAACTGTGGTTTCATGACTTCCATCACCAACCGTACTCCTGTCTAGTCTAGTCCATGTAAAGTGAAACTGTGAGAGCCAGCCCGTGTTTACGCCTTCTTTAGATTGAAAAAAGAGTGAACCCGACGAATAGTGTCACTTTCGTTTTATTTGGCAAATATTGTTCAATTGTGGATCAACTAGGTTCAAAAGATTCATCTCGTGATTTCTAACTAAACTGTATAATTAGTTATTTTTTTTACCTACATTTAATACTCCATGCAAGCGGCTAAAAATTGATGTGATGGAGAGAGTGAAAAAACTTGGAATTTGGATGGCATCTAAACAAGATCTTAGTTCCAAAATAACTTCCCCAAAAGTGCTACGGTAGCCATCACATCGAATCTTGCGATACGTGTATGGAGCATTAAATGTAGATGAAAAAAAAAACTAATTGCACAGTTTGGTTGAAAATCGCGAGACGAACGTTTTGAGCCTAATTAGTCCATGATTAAACACTAATTACTAAATAAGCGCGTGTTTAGTTTGAAGCCAAAATCTCAAAAAGTGCTACAGTACCTGTCACATCGAATGTTTGCGGCCCATGCATGGAGCATTAAATGTAGACGAAAAAAAACTAATTGCACAGTTTGGTGGGAAATTACGAGACGAACGTTTTGAGTCTAATTAATCCATATTTGAACACTATTTGCCAAATAAAAACGAACGTGCTACAGTAGCCCCAAATTCCAAATTCCTACAACTAAACACAGCCTAAAAGCGAAAGCGAACGTTTTAAGCCTAATTAGTCCATGATTAAATACTAATTACTAGATAAAATGAAAGTAATGCAGTAACCAAACCCCCCCCCCACCCCCCCCCCCAAAACCACTAAACAAGCGCCTAAATTGGGCAAGATGAACTGCAGGTGTTGTACTGTTCCTCAGCCCCAACTACCTAGGATCCTAGAGATGCTCTCAGATCACCATGGTGGATCTGATGTTTCTCCTGCCTTTCCACACAAAAGCAAGAGAGAAGAATAATGTCAGTTGTCAGCTGCTGCCTTGCCTAGAATGACCTCAATCTTTGCCATTTCATTGAATTGGGAAACTGCCTCCCTCTTTTGAGCTCCAGCTAGTGTTATCCACCTCCTGCCAATCTGCCATACATGGCCAGCACAATCCTTGGCCCCTCACGGCATTGTCACTTTGATCTTATGTTTTTGGCTATGTTGTTTGTGCTGTTCTGTATTTGGGGCCAACTTGGTAGAGTTCGTCATTACTGCAATCTTTGCAGGATAAAAAAGGCGGTTGTGCTTCATAAGGACGTCTCCAACAGTGCTCTGGTTTGGCATAGTCGAAACTTATGCAGAAGCAAAGCGTCTTGTTGTCTGCACCTGAGAGCTGAGTGTTTGTTGTTTGTTTATTTTTTATTTTATATATTATACAAAAGACTCCCTGTGGCATCTTATACTTGATTGATATTAAGGACAATAATAACCGGTACATAAAAGGCAATGCCAAGAAAGAAAATCACATCAAATTTGACTAATGTCCTGTTCACTTGGCTTATAAGCCGTACTTTTTCTGCCAACTAATAGTATTTTTCTCTCACAACAAATCAACCAACGATACTTTTAACCATGGCTCAGCCAAGCGAACAGGGCATAACTCTTCTCTATGGAAACAATTATGGCAGCACTGTGTTTTCTCCAATCACCATTGTGCCACCGGATGCAAACGGGGATAAACAGAGAGCCAAGCAAGATCTGAAGGAACTTCAATCCCATGTAAGGCCTTTGAAGGCCGCAATAGGGACGCTCCAAGCAAGATCCGGAGGAACATCAATCCCACCTAGGCTTTTGAAGACCGCAATAGGCATCCGTCCCCAAGAACATATCCATAGAAAGACCGCAATAGGTGTCCGACCTGAAGAACATATCCATAGAACCGCTGAAAGAACACCAACAAGGTCGCACCTCGAAACTAATCTAGATCTCTCATGCACCACCATCCCTTGACACATTCACAGACCTCATAAAAAGTTTTCACTAGTGCTGGATGGATCAACAGCGAGGCGGATAGCAAACCGAAAGACCAATATTCCAAAGTGTGTCGCCATCAGCTCCACCTAGATAGGAATGCTATGGACACAGTCCATAACTAATCGTACCTTCATGGAAAAAAAAACATTGAAACAAGATGCACAAGGGACCAACACAACAAAATCCACCACCACCACCACCCTTTGTTGATGAAGGCGAGAAGAGACTCCTAGATCTACTCGAGAGATGGATACCTGCTGACCTCTCTATCGGCAACTCACTAGAGAGGAGGGAGGGGGACTGGAGGGATGACAGCTGGTGGTGATTGTACACCAACTATAATAATAACATATCGGGTTTTTGTATAATACAAAAATACATACTTTTAAAAAGTTTCCTTGAATGCTTCCATATAAATCGAGACCAAACTAAGTCAAATACCCCTTCTCCTCTTGTTCCAAAATCTTGACCCAAGTTCTGTTTTGTAAAGAATTTCGAAAGTGTGTTGGCAAAACCAAAACTTGGAAGGCTATGTTTAAACAAGTTTCAACCTATGTTTCACATGAAATAAATTAGTATCTATCCCTCTATCGCTAATAATAAAGAGGCAAAATTTCGGCTATTTTTTTCGTCCATCTATTTTTTTCATCCACCTCCCTCTAACTACCGGACAATGAAGAGTTTCTTCCGTTCGCATTTATATATATAACTCGTGTTCATACGAGTTAGAATAGCTCTTATCTAGCGTGATATGGAATCCGATTTCAAAACGTATTGGGTTCTACTACTTTTTTGGGATCCAGATACATGGATAATTACTGTCAGCGAGTTAAAATAGGAGTGAGCCCGCTGTGCTATTTGTTTTCCTATTCCTTCTTTCCCTGCTAGGCTAATCCGACTTTTTATTTATAACTCGTCCTCATATGAGTATGAGTTAGAACAGCTGCGTCAAACGATAATCAATATGGAGTCCGATTCTAAGACACAATGGATCACGCCCCGGACTCATGAATTGTCCCTATACGTGTTTGAACAGCTCCGTCTACCTATAATATAGAGTTTGATTCTAATGTAGTTTTTTTTTATCCACAGCTTTTGTAGTCTTTTTTTATCTATCTGTTTGTACTTTGTTTTAGTCTCTTTTTTCCACGTTTCTGATCTCTCATTTGCTGTCCGCTTCTACTTCAGTTCTCTTCTTTTCACGTTTCCTTTTTTGTTCGCACTTTTTTTCCACGTTTCTATTTATTTGCTCCTTCATTTTTCTTGGGTCGTTTATTTTCGTTTCTTTTTTTTATGTTCTGTTTCTTAGTTTTTTTGTTTTTACCTGTCTGTTTTGTATATGTTTTTTCCAAAAGTTTTTCCGCTATTTGTGTTTCCACCTTTTTTTTTCTGTTCGTTGGTGCATTTTACTCCGTTCAGTGTTTTTATTAAAATAAAAAACAAATACAAGCAAAAATGCCCATGCACTGAAATGGGAGAAAAAAATCAATAGTATCTCTATTCCAATAGACTTGATTCAACTCAATGATCACCTCATCTTTATTCATGGCCCACCTTCCACCGTTGATTACTACAGCTCAAATCCAGAGTCCGTGTTTCTCTCCCATCCGCAACTACATGTCACAATAATGTTAATTTGATGTTATAATATTTATTCTCTTTTTCTGTGAATATGGTCAAATCTAAAATAGTTTGACTTAAGATAGTTCTAAAAGTTGATTTCATTTGCAGCGGAGTGAGTATAAGAAAGAGTCTTCTAAACGATTGTAGTAGTTACATGCACATTATTTTCCACTACATTGCTGTGATTTAGCTATGATAGGAAAACTACCCGTGTGTTGCTAGAAAAAAGATATAGCAAACTTAATCTATTTATCTATTAACTAAACAGTGGGATCATAATTTTTTTCAAATATGTCACTCAACTCTAATATTTTGCAAAAAGTAAATATGGCAACAAAGTTAATATTTGAGAAAGAATTATTTTTTCTGGCACATGAATCTTGTCGTCATGCTATGCAAGAATTATGAAAAGCACTGTCGCACAACTTACTTGAAGGCCTTTTAGTTTGGACGGGCTCAAGCAAAGTTATTACAGTTAGAATGTCATTTAAATTATTGTAGCCAGAAATAGTTCTTCGAGACCTTATCATCAAACTATGTGAATGTGAACTAATTAAGTATGATATGTAATTAGGAAAAGAAACATATGCTCAATGAGGGCGTTTTTTCGGACATTAACATGCAACACCTCCCAAATAGTGTAACACCCGTGTTGTTGCATCATATTAAAATTCACTAAAAATTTGAACTTTTAAAACTTTACAATAAATTAAAACCCTGACTAGTTATTTTCCCGGCAAAACCATTTTGAAAATATATATTTCCAAAACCCTGCATCAAAACCCACCATATGCATTTTGTGTGTTGCGTAGGATTTAGTCGAAGCGCTAGGAATGACTTAAAGGAATAGAAGACCACCTCGTATTTTAAATTCCATTTCCTGCACCGTGTTGCTTGAGTGTATGCTTGAATGCTTGCTTGATTGCTTGTGTGTATGATTGCTTTCTGGAATTTATTTGCGGCACCAAAACAACTTCCCTTAATAATTAATTGCACTTTAATTATAATATGGAGGTAGATAATGCATCGTAGATATAAGTGATATTTTATTCACTAGAAATTATAATGGCCTTCGCATTGATAGATTAAAGACATTTTCCCTCCTC